GGGTCTCGCTCTTGCTCAGGCTGGTCTCGAACTCCTGAGCTCAAACGATCTGCCCACCTTAGCCTCTCATACTAATTATATTAACTGCCAAATTCCCCTTTTGTCAACATCAGTTTGGGCTGGCTTTCTGCCAATGAGCACAATTCAAAATTCTGCAACTTCCCTCACCATAAAATCACAGGACACATTGGCAAATTCCTTGCCACAGTTTAATAGCTCACTGAAGCACCAATCCCTAGCATGCTATTATAGTTAAACACTCAAGGTCCTGAGTCCAATCCAGGCTCTGTTTTGACTGGCTTTGGTGACTTGGGCAGATCGCTGAAGCTTATCTGCCTCATCCTCCCCATCTGTAACATAGGTATATTAACCGTACCTACCACACAGGAGCATTGCAAAGAAAGAGTTATATATGTAAAGTCTTTATAACAATGTCATGTAGAAATGTTCAAAATACTAATCCATTTATATCGTTATCATCACCATCATCGTCACTATCATTGTTATATTATTATTACTGTTACCAGTCTAGTTAGCCTACCAAAAGTCAACGTTTTCATGTACAAAACGTACATTAGCATCAGGTACCTCTGCCTGCTTTTATAAGGGCTCTTCCATCATCTCTGGGAGAATGTTTCCTTACATCTCTTCTAGGATCAACATCAACTCGTCGTCTTCTCTCTGGTCCCTCCGCCAAAAACTAACGACCTGCTGCCATGGCGTAGTTTACACTATCTCACTGCTTAGGTAAAGGTTCTGGATACTCCATGGATGTGTCTAAGAGGCAGGAACAGTGACGGGGACGTGGCACTGGGCGTTGGCACCAGGCTGGGCATCCCGAGCCCTCCCTGCCACACAGGCACATAGCTCCCCCTTATTTATATTCAGTCTCGCTAACTCAAGGCAAACCTCTGAAAGTGAAGTGGAGCTCCTAATTAAAAGGTAGCCTTGAGCTGTCAATAAAATTATGCATAAAGGAAATGTTTAAAAACACAGTAGTGGCTTCCTTGAGACAGATTTTCATTTGCATTCTTTTTTTTTTTTAATTCGAGTGTGGGGGTACATAAAAAGAAAGCACGTCTTCAACACGGCCACTCCCGCCCTCCCTGCAGCCCAGAAAACCATCCTCGACACAAAAAACATTGCGCCGTGTCTGAAATTGCTGGCTGGAAAAATGGCGAGTCTTTCCTACTTATTTCTGGGAAGTGGCAGGGATTATCATTTGTTTTTATGTGTTTGGGGAGAGCAGATCCTTTGTTGCGTCCCTGTGCTCAGCCGTCAGTATGAGTGATCACTGTTCGTCCGCAGACCGGGCCGACAGCTCCAACAAACGTCCCCGCGGCACCCGCCCTCCTCTATCGCAACGCGTATCGCAGTGCGCGGCCCTCGTTCCTTAACCTGCCTGTCTCCTCCACTATGCTGTGAACGTCCAGATCTGTTATCTCCGAATTCTCAGAACCAGGTTTAACGTCGCTGTACAACGACAACAACAAAATGTTGCATGTGTGAGTAAATGAATGCATAGATGGACCAATGAATGAAACACCTGGCTCCAGGAACAGCTGAGTCATTTCTCCAGGGCCTGACGGTTTCCCATCCCTGACACAGTGATCAACGTGACAAAACGGGTATTTGACAGCTGTGTGCCCACCACCGTGCCACTGCATCAAGGAGCGCCTTATTTTGCTCGTTTTTCCCTTTCTCTCCTCTCATTGCTGACTGCCTCCAACTACTTGGGCAATCGACCCTAAGCGCGCCATTTTCCGTGACTAGGCATCAATATTCCAGAGTTCGACAAAACAAAAAGTTGGGATTGGATGGCTTTGAGGTTCTTTTCTGGGATCCTGTGCCAGCCTCTCTTCCCTCCTTCCCTCTCTCTCTCTGGCTCCCGTTCTTACCTTCGAAGCTCCCAGCGAACAAGTAGATCCAGGTGACAGCTGGGATGCAGAGAAGACTCAGCGAGGCAGCCAGGAATTTCCGTCTCCCTCTGCAGATGCCCAGCATCCTCTCAGAAGTGGCAACCCCTAAGCCCAGCGCCGTTTCTCTGTCCGGAGCACGAAGTCCTCGGCCTCCCTCATAATACTTCCTGAAAAGAAGAGCAAGGAGGAAGGGCTGAGTTCTCAGCTCTGGAAATGGGTGCAAATTGCAGACGAGAAACATCTCATAGACCCTGAAAGTGGTTCACCTGGTCCATGATTTCCTGTTAACCTTTTATCCCAAGAGATGATGCTGCAGTCTGTCAAAACTGAGGTAGTTAAGTAAATAACAAAAACTGCGAGATCTCTCTCTCTCTCTCTCTCTCTCTCACATGCACACTTTTTGGTATACAGGTTAGCTTTTCCAGGCCTGAACTAACACCCGTAAACACACTTAAAGGAGCATTTAGCTAGCACCTATTAGGTACCAAGCACTAACCACGTGCTGTGTTTTAAAGAAGACTAGAACAGAGGATGGCTTCAAAAAGCATAGTCTAATGAAAGAGACCAGCAAAAAACATCCACGAGAACCAAGACTGTGACAGCTGAGATCTGCACGTACCACTGAGGAAGGGCAGATGAAGGTGCTGACTGATGCATGCATGGTCAAGACAGCAGAATGGTTCCTGCATTCCGGGCAAAGTGTACCGGGAAGGGCACTGGGGCCGACTCGAAAGCAAAGGCAAAGAGATCAGGTGGGCCACAAACCCATCTGCGTGACACTGTACCTCAATCACAGCTGAAAACCTAAACACACTCGGCAGGGACTGTCTTCACAGCCTCTACCTTCAATATGGAAGATGAGGTCCAGAGAAGCATGGAGACCACTAGAACACACAGAAAGGGACAGGAACAGTTAGCCTGGAGAAAACCCACCCTTAGACCACAGCAGAAGGCCGGCATATGTGTTCACAGAAGAGGGAGAAGGTCCACGCAGACAGTAGAGAGCCCGTGATCCTTCACCTGAGTATATGACCAGGAAATCACAGAACCTGTAAAGGAGTTACATACCCAGCAGACCATGAGACCTCATCTCTACCCACCTCCTAACCAGATGTCGCACTGACTACAGGTGGAGAGATAAACCCACACGGAACCTCCTAACAGAGCAGAACCCACCCACTGCAGACAGCTATAAAAGGCTTCAGATTCCCAAAGAACGGATGTTCATGAAGCAGCTGGTTTGTGCCTACAATGCGTCCTTCCCGCGGCCGTAACCCTTACAGCCCCTGTGATGGTGGTCTGGCCCCCATTCCACACCAGCCCTGGCGTCTCCAGAAGACAGGTCCCCACCCCGGCTGATGCACCCTGCATTCTCTAAGACTTAGCATATTGCCTGTCACCTGCAGGTGATTGATAATTGTCTGTTAAACGAATAAATGGAATCTGATTCTAACCAAAGGCGACCCTCTCAAGCTTCGGGAGTTTGTGTTCAGCAAGTTGCCAGCAATAAACACCGAATGGAGCCGATCTTAACTGTCAACCCGGGCTTTCTTCTGCAACCACTCTGACACGGTTTTCTAAATGGCCTTTTTTCGAAACAGATGAAAAGACCACAGGGCTGGAGGGTGTGGAATAGAAAGTAAAACCGAAAAAGCAAAATCCTCTTGAACAAAGAATGTTGACTTGAGAAAAGTCCCCTCTAGGGAAGTTTTTCATTCTACAGCACGGGAAACAAACCCTATGCACACACACTGTGCTAGTCACAGAGAATGAGAACCACCAAGGCACATGAATCTGTCAGGAGAAGAAAGCGTAGGGGGAAGAGGGCTATGCAGTCAGATGAGTCTGGGTTCAAATCCAGATGCTGCGCTCCACTAGCTGTGACCTCGCCAAGTCCCCTGTCTCCGGGTAAGCTTCACTTTACCCATCCATAAATTGAACGGATGCCCTCCATCTTGGAGAGTTGGGCGAAGATCAAAGGAGAGAGCCCTTGACTAAGTGACTGACCAAGATTCATCAAGTACATTGCAGGGGTGATCCCGCTTCCTGGAGGGCAGAAGAGCAGCCTTAATTAGGTTTTTATTTCCACTCATTCCCACACGCCCCCTCTTAGGGTTTAGTAGAAAACAGACCCCAAGAAATAAGTATTGACCGACATGCCAAATGAGTGCTTTAAACCCAAAGGACCCACCTATTCAATTCTCCTTCAGGCAGTACAATGCTTCTTAGGTACCCATGGGGGTGGTCCCAGGACCCCCAAAGGTACCCAAATCCTTGGCTCTTCAAGTCCCTGATATAAAACGGTTCAGTATTTGCATGTAATCTATGCACATCTTCCCATATATTATACTTTAAATTCTCTCTAGATTACTTACAATACCTAGTACAATGTAAACGCTATGAAGATAGTTGTTATACAGTATCACTTAATAACGGCAAGAAAAAAAAGTCTATACATGTTCACTAAAGACACAATCATCAACACTTTTTTCTAAATATTGTCCATCCAAGGTTAGTTAAATCTGCAAGTGTGGAATCCATGGATTCAGAGAGACAACTGCACCACCACGTTAAAATCACAATTTTTTTTTTACATTTCACTTATAGTAATAGTCAAGACAACTAGCAGTAAGTAGCACTTAAGTGTCTAGCATTTTCTATATTTTCTCACATATACCTTGCTTATGTAAGTCTCAAAATAACCTATGAGATAGGTACTATTTTCAGTTCTGCTTCTATGGGTGAGAAAATTGAGGCCCAGAAAGATTAGTTAACTGGCTAAAGGTTATACACAACTAGTAAAAGGCAAAAACTCCTCGGGCTCTGTTCTCCCTCGGTAATTGATTGTAACAGCTCTTGCCAGAGGGTATTTTTCCTTTTGATCTAACCTAAATCCTTCATATTGAACCTTACGGTTATTTCTTTCCCAGGGTCAAATATATCATAACTGTTTGCTCTCATTTCAAAAAAAAAAAGAAAAAAGTGCAGCAGAAGAAAGTTAGAAAGCTGTAGACGAATTTCAACTTTAGGGGAAAGTAAGAAGATGGGAATTAAACTCAACTGGCATTAATATTTATATAACATGAAAAAACCCAACTCTTTAAAACACTTATTTTCCTCCTTTCCTCTCGCCATCTGCAGAAGTTAATTTCAACTTGCACGATTCATGCGAAGTTTTAAAACAGAGTCTGCCGTGGTTTGTCTTTTATGATAACACTGGCATCTGAAATTAAACCCAGCAGGTAAAAAATATTTCTTCGTGAATTTGACTTTTAAATGACACCTCTGTGCACTAAAAACACATTTTAAAGAAAAAAATCTAAATTTATCTCAGAAGGTACTCCAGGAAGTCAACATAGGAATCAACACAAGAAGAAAGGAAGGAAGAAACAGGAGGTGGGCTGGAAATTACATCCCAAACATGTGCAAATGTTGATGTGTTAACCAGGAAAACCAGCCCCTAACCTGCTCTCCCTCCAGGGCTGCCTGGTGAAAGGGACACCACCTGCCTGTTAACCCAGGTGTCTAAGTGTCATCCCTAAATACCCCTCCCTCAACTCCAACATCCAACTCCTTGGCCAAACTGGTCACCTCCTCCTCCTAAACATCCACTCCACCTGTCTTCTCCCATCTGTCCTAACCAATGAAATTCACAGTTATGAAGAACCCTGTATGAACCAGAAAAATAATCATGATCTGTTAAGCCACAAAAGCAGGATTCAAAGCCAAATGTACAATGTGATCGCAAGTATCCTTCAGTCCAACACAATAAATTTTATATACAAGTACCAATACCTACATATCTATGTATGTGAGAAAAGGCTTAATTATTATTGGAAGTTATTTTTGCAGTGTAGGATATGGAGAATTTCAATATATATGAATATATATTTCCCCCAATTTTATACATTGCTGTTATAATTTAAAAATTACTTAAGGGCTCAAATCACTATGTCTTCTTGTTCTATTGCTTGCAATTCAAAATACCTCAGCACAGTGTAGCATGTTTGTGTTAGCTTTAATTTTCATGCTAGGTGTAGGGAGTTAACATCTGTAGTAACCTGATTGGGAATCTACCCTCCAGGCGTGGCTGGTTACCAGCTGAGAGATTCCAACCGGAGCCCACATCCCCAGTGTGTGCTCCAGCTATCGGAGATCAACACCAGAGGCTGTCTTTTAATTAGCATCATACATGTTAGACATGATTTTTCACGGGTATTCAAGATGTGTGGATTGTCTAGAAACACTGCACGTGAAGAGAGAATAAAAATCTAAGGGACCAAAAAACATACATATTTATATATTTGTTTACACACATATATATGTATATGTATGTATATTATATGTAAATAAATATATGGAATAAAATGGGCCAAACCATTCAGAATCACAGGATCTCAAATTAATCCCAGATGCATGCAGCAATCGGAGGATTTGGGCCTGAGCCACCGATTCTAACTAGAAGAGTGGCTGAATCCTGCCACTCACACACTGTCGTCCCTATCTTGAGTGACCCTTTCTTGCAAGGTGAGGCCCTAGTACCTAAGAGAACAAAGAGCTGGACCAGGTTCACGTTCTAGGACTTCGCATTCAAAGCGGCACAACCTGCAAAATTTCAAATGTCACTATCCATCCCCCATCCCCCGCCTCGGCCCACCAAGGCTGCCAGTGCACAGATTCTTTACCGTCACATGAACCTACCAGTGGCCTCCTCACCACTCCCCACCCAGGGCCAGGTTTTCTCCATACGCTCTCGCTCTGCGTCGACGCCGCGGTCCATTAGCACGATCTTGCACATGCGTCTCCCTCCAGCCTCCTCCTTTCCAACTGCACTAGCCTGGCAAAACCCCACGCTCCGAATAACACGGTCATCCTTGTTCTCCATCACGGCTTTATATGGGAACCAAATGGGGTGGGAAATCACACCATGCAACAGGTAGATCTGTTTCCTTTAATTATTTCTGATTTCAAATGGTAGCCAACTGCTCACAAATGCTACTACCTTTCTCTGGTACACTCACTCTCCAACCTCCGAGATATTTAGTTCATACATTTCTTTCCTCCTCAAACCTCCTCTTTCCTGAAATGCAAATTCCAGGCATGTTCCAGAATTCAGTGTGGGACTCTCACTTTTTTTTTTTCCTCCCAGGCCAATGATCTGTAAAAC